TTGAGAACCCACAGTCCCCTCACCAGGTCATTGCCGGTGGCCAGGACCAGATCCAGCAAGGCATTTCCCCTGGTGGGACCATGCACCTCCTGCATTAGGTGGATGTCCTGTATCTAGGCTAGGAACCTACATGAGTGGTCAGACCTGGCTGCCTGCTCCTTCAGGCAGATGATTGGGTAGTTTAGGTCACCCATGATTACCACATCCCTTGATTTAACTGCCTCCGCGACCTGACCTGAGAATTCTCAGTCCAGCTCTTCCCTCTGGTTGGGTGGTCTGTAGTAGACACGCACCATTAAGTTCCTTGCCCCATGACCCTCATGTATTCTTACCCAGAGCACTTCAGTCTGCTCCTCCTCTGACCCCATCCTGTTTGTTGAGGATGTGTATTGCATTTTGACATAGAGTGCCACTCCGCCGCCTTTCCTCCCTGTTCTATCCCACCTGTACAGTCTGTAGCTCTTAATGTTTACCACCCAATCATGGGTTGAATCCCACCAGGTTTCAGTGAGCCCCACCATGTCCGGGTTTGTGTTAGTTAGCAGGACGGCACACGACACCTGGATATCCAGAGGTAAAAAAAACCCATGAAAAAAAAAACCGCAGAGCAGTGGACTCAGGGGCAGTGCGCGCCACTCAAAATCGGAGCCTAGCTAGACAGAGCCACAGCGCAGCTGCTGGCTGGAATCTGTGCATTAGGATTGCTGCTGCTGCAGCTCCAGAAGGATCCGAGGTAAGGCTGCTGGGGCCAGCCCACTGCTGGCCCTGACTTCCTCTATCCCACCTGGGGTAACTTGTTGCACGCCAGAGGGCACAATGGCACAGGCATTCCCCAGGGACAACAAACAGCGGCACAAGGTGTGCCGCTACTAATTGTCCCTGGAAAACCAAATGTCCATGGATGTGTGGATGTGGCTAGAGTGTCCAGGAAGTATGGCATCCCAGGACACATTCTACCACACCAGGAAGTTCCTGCTGCCTGCTGTCTCACCCAAACTGTCTCCACAGGTCCACACATCCTAGATGCTCTGTGTTTCCAGAAGGATTTATTCTATGTCACACAGTTCGCCACAACTCCGGAAAAAGTCTTTTTTGCTACATTCTGCCTTCCAAAAACAAGGTGCATATTTTATTTGGGGGCACGTTGCATGTAAAAAATATGGTACATTGCAGGCTGATTCTCCTTTAAATGTATCTTAGAATACACAGAAAGTAAAAACCCAGAGCTACTACATTAAAGGGACAGTATGTTTTCTATATCAGTAGAAAAATTACAGCTATATGCCAAGGAATCATTTTCACTACTACCAAAAAACTACTAGCCCTTAATAGGGCCGTGCAAAACTTTGGTAGCTGATTCAATTCGGCAGTGACTTGGCCCAATTCAGCGGCCAAATCTCGGAATCAATAAGGAGACCCTTTAATCTCTTCGAATTGAATCGGAACCATCCGAATCGATTTGGAGAGATTTGATGATTCGGCCATAGATGCAGCTTTAAATGTTTTTTTTCTACATACCTCAAGGTACCAGGTGGCTTGTGAACGTTGAGATGCTGGGGCGGATGGAGTGTCCCACAGGAGCACAGGGGGGTCCCCAGCGCATTTGGCGGCAGACCCAGAAGTAGACCAGAAGCACTTCTGAGTGACCACGGAGCATGCGGGGGACCCTCCATCCGCCCCCCCCGCTCAGTGACTGCGGCCTCCTTGGTCTGGGGGGCACCAAGGGTTCCTTTGTGGCTGATCGCCAAGCCAGGGAGGCATTGGGGGGGTAGGGGGAGTGGGTCCCCTGCTCACTTGGCGGTGGACCTGGAAGTGGACTAGAAATACTTCTGGTCCACTTCCGGGTCTGCTGCTGAGCATGTAGGGGGTCCCCCCACGCTCCTGTGGGATGCTCCATCCGCCCCACCATCTCAGCATTGATGAGCCGTGCCTGGTACCTTGAGGTATGTAGAAATAACATTTAAAGCTGTGCCTATGGCTGAATCACTGATTCTCTGAGTCAGCATCCGATCTTCAGATTCAGCCGAATTGAGTCAGGACAGCGATCCAAATTAACAAACTGAAACAGTGTCACCCGATTTGGACCGAATCCGAATTGAATACAGCCTGTTTCTGTTGAATACAGAAAGTAGAAGGATTGTGGGTTAGGTTACCTGGAGGTCAAGGAGAAAGGGATTTGGTGGTAGGGGTCTGCTACAGACCCCCACACCAAGGGGAAGAACTAGATTTGGGGCTCCTGAGGCAGCTCTTGGAGACCATAAAAACTAGGGAGGTGGTAGTCATGGGGGACCTAAACTACCCAGACATCTGCTGGGAGACGCAGACAGCAAAGTCCCACTGTTCACGCAGGTTTCTAACTTGTGTACAGGACCTCCACCTGACGCAGGAGGTACACAGTCCCACTAGGGGGAATGCCTTACTGGACCTGGTATTGGCAATGGGGGATGACATGGTAGGAGACCTACAGATCGGTGGTCACCTGGGGGACAGTGATCACCAAATAACAGAATTCACCATAAGACGTCGAGTGGGTAAGGTAACTAGTAGGGTGAAAGTGCTAGACTTTAGGAAAGCTGACTTCAATGAACTCAGGCCTTTAGTCAAGGACGCACTGCAGAGTAAGAGTTTTGAAGAGTTGGGAGCCCAGGAAGGGTGGCTGTGCCTTAAGGAAATGATCCTTCAGGCATAGAGGGAGACGATCCCGATGCGGGGAAAAAAGGGGAAAGGGGCCAAGAGGCTTCCTTGGCTGACCAGAGAAATCCAGAGCAGTCTATGGGCTAAAAGGGGGGCATATAAAAAGTGGAAATGGGGCTTCCCTTGGAAGTTGGTTCCAGATCTAGCCACCCTGACTGAAGTAGTACTTCCTAATGTCTAGCCTGAACCTACTCTCGGTCAACTTGTGGCCGTTAGTCCTAGTTACTCCTGGTAGTGCTTGGGGAAACAGGGACTCTCCTGTTCCCCTCTGGTCCCCCCTGGTAAGTTTATAGGTGGCCACCAGATCCCCTCTCAGCCTTCTCTTGTGGAGGCTGAACAGGTTCAGGTCCCGTAGCCTCTCCTCGTAGGGCCTGCTCTGCTGCCCCCTGACCATGTGAGTGGCCCTCCTTTGGACCCTCTCGATGCTGTCCACATCTCTCCTGAAGTGCGGCACCCAGAACTGGACACAGTACTCCAACTGTGGCCTGACCAGTGTCGCATAGAGGGGGAGGATCACCTGCTTGAACCTGCTTGTGATGCATCTGTGGATGCATGACAAGGTGTGGTTAGCCTTACTGACCGCGTCCCCACACTGTCAGCCCATGTTCATCTTGGAATCAATAATGACTCCAAGATCCTTTTCTGCTTCTGCGCTGATGAGAAGGAAGTTCCCCAGCCTGTACGTATGCTGCTGGTTCTTCCTCCCCAGGTGCAGTACCCTACACTTGTCAGTATTGAATCCCATCCTATTCTCATCTGCTCACCCCTGTAACCTGTCCAGATCTAGTTGTAGCCTGTCTCTCCCTTCTATCATGCCCACTTTTCCCCATATCTTAGTGTCAAGCACTTAGCTTACAGAAAATAGGAAACTTGTAACCCTCATAGTATTCACAGAAGCTTCCAAATTGCAGGATCTGAGTCTCATGAGGGACTTTAATTATCAGGACATCTGCTGGGAGTGAAACTGCAGTGTGCTAGAAATCCAACAAGTTCCTGGAGTGTTTTGAAGATAACTTTTTGATGTGGGCAGTAGAGGGGCCAATTAAGGGGGAAGCTCTTCTTGACTTGCTGCTCACCATCAGGGAAAAATTGGTTGAGAATGTGAAGGTGGAAGGTAACTTGGGTGACAGTGGGTGCATCTACACAAGACATTTACTATGGAGCTGCCTAATTGGCTCCACAGTAAAGTCTGCCAGTTAGCCCTACACTGGAGCACCCTTATGCCCCGGCCAGCCATTCTGCAGCATGTTGAACTGGGGCAAAGCAGCCCCAAGCTGGCAGGCTGAACCCTCCAGGCCCTGTGCCAACCAGGGCTGCTCCGCCTCAGCTCAACGTGCTGCAGTCCTGGGCACATGCGCAAACATGGCACTTGGGAGCAATATTAATTTCATGTGAAGATGTGACCAGGAAATGACAGAGTTCAAGATTTTAAGAGGAGGAAGGATAGAGAGCAGCAGAATAAAGACACTGGACTTAAGCAAAGCTGACTTTAACAGACTCCTGGCACTGGTGGGCAGGATCCTCTGGAAAGCAAGTCTTGAAGGGGAAAAGAGTCCAGGAGAGCTGGCTGTACTTTAAAGATACCCTTTTAAGGGTACACGAGTAAGCTATTCTGATGTGACAGAAGAACTGGAAGTGCACCAGAAGACTAGTCTGACGAGGCAGCAGTCTCTTCAATGAGTTGAAACTCAAAAAGGGATATTACAAAGAGTGGAAACTTGGTCTTAATACTAAGGAAGAGCATAACAGTATCTCATGAGCATGCACCAAGAAAATTAGAAACACCAAGACTCAATTTGAGATGCAACTGACAAGGGACGTAAGGCAATAAATATGGGCACCTACCAGATGACGAGCACATTTAGCAACAAAGATAGGGAAGGAGTCTACCAGCTTAGAGTTAATGTCTAACATGTATGAATCTATGAATCTAGGCAGACAAGGTTCCTTGGGTGAATTTGATATCTTTTATTAGACCAACCCAAATGGCTGGAGAATAGTTATTAAGCACGCTTTCGGGTTCAAAAACCCTTCGTCAGGCTAAGGAAGCTGCAGCAGTTGGTGTGTGCTCTTCCTGGATGGAGGAATCTATGCATTTGTGTTTTGCACACCTCTAGCACTTAGGTGAAACTAGAAAAGCCATTATAATGGTTCTAACAATAGAAGACAATTAGGGCGTACTCTCAATTATATTATACTAAATCAATAGAGGAGTAATGTAGGTAGTGGTAATTAGCAATGCTTTACACTAAAAAGGATTGCTGTTGAAATCATTTACATTGTTAATTTATTAATTCTTGAAGTACCTGTGAGCTTGAAATAGTTTACCCTCTATCCAAATATTAATATCTGGACAACAACGTTTCTTGTAGAGTGTAATTAAGTCTTCTCCTAAACCAGATGCTGCTTCTAGTTCAGATTGACCTGTAATTGTGAAAGAAATAGATACTTTTATTTCTTCCAGTTTATATTATTACAAGCAATTCAAGGCATTTGAAATCATGGATCTGTTATGATAAAAAACTGGATATTGTACATTCAGGCTACAGCTTTTACACAGAATACTTCTGAAAGATACATTTGATTAAAGGCTTTTTAGGTAAGCTTAGTAGTAGAAGCAGAGAATAAATTCTCTGTCTCATTCATAATAGGCCAGTATCTCTAAGTTCTTTGAAATCTATGGAAGAAAAATACTAATGTTATGAACCTTGTATGATAATGATGTGGTGTCTTCAGCTTTCTACAAAAACTGTATATTGTTTCAAGGAAACTGAGGTCAGAAGAAATTTAAGTTTGCCTGATATAAGCAAAACTATTTGTACCAATATAGTACATATCACCTATGGGGGGAGGGAAATAGTTTTACCGGTACAGAATGCAGCTTTATCAGTTATAGTTGCATCTGTACCAGGGCTGCATCAGTAGCAAGACACTCAATATCAGCAAATTGAAAATTAAAATTTGTCATAAAGGGCAAAGACTATGAACTACCTATAGAAATTCAAAACCAATAGCTATGGTTATATAATTTTCATAACTAGGTCCTGCCCCAACTTTTTACTAGATATGCATACCTACTGTATAGGACAAAGGTGCTCAACCTTCTGGCCCCACAGGCCAGATGTGTGGCGTGGGGCCAGTCTGGTGGGCCAGACTGAGCCCTGCATGCCAGAATCAGGCAGTGGGTCCCAGCACCACCCCTTCCCAGACCAAAACACTGGGATTGGGTCCCAGCACTGCCCCCTCCTACTGTGGGATTAGGCCCTGGGGCCCAGTGCCACTACTGCCTGGCCCTGTGCACTGGGATCAGGTGCTTGATCCAGCATGCAGGGCCTGGGGTTCCTAATGGGCCTGGAAATTTGGATGCCAGGAACGAGTGCCACCACTTCTCCATCACCAAATTTCTGGATCTGTGGGGAGCTCCACAGGTTGGGGTTTAAGCACCCCTAATATAGAAAGAAAGGAGAGATTACCCTTCTCCTTTAGCACTATGCCAAAGCAGCTGAAGTTCACTGTTGTATAGAGAAGACATTGGACCCAATAGATGTAGCAATCAAAATGCTCCCCTTTCTCTAAATGTGTGCTGTTACATGATGGTCTGGATGCAATGGATACTATCTTTACCACATCCCTGGGTATTTCACTGTACAAGGCCTATTTACTTAAGATGCAAGGGAAGGATTTAGACCACAGTAAAGGATATCTTTTTAAATGTTGTTAATGCAAGTGTTGCCTACAAATGTCTAACTCGGGATCCTTAAAATTCTGGTTTATTAGGCGGATTGAAACACTGTAATGATTTAACTCATAAACCTTGGGGCTGGTCCTTCCACACACACACACACACACACACACACACACACACACACACTAGCAAGCTACAAGAGTCAGGTATACCTATCCCACAGGTGCTGGAGTCTGTTGTTGAGGCTACTTTCAGCATGGTGTTAGCTTCCAGAAGGGGGTCGCCGGCTGGTCCTTCTGGCTGGACAGGTCAGGTGCTGGTCAAGTTGGAGATCAAGAGGGCGCCACTGAGGGTCACTTTTCACTGCTTTTTATCTGTCCTTGGCAGACTTTGGTGACTCCCCAGTTTTCAGGTTTGCCCAATCCAGGGGTCGTTGACCCTCGTGGGACTTCCCCCCTCGGTGGCTACTGGATGGCATCTGTCAGCCCCAGGGGTCGTCCTCATGTACGTGCAGGTTTGGGAGTCCGTTGATGAATTTTGAATAGGGCTCTGGGAGCGGTTGATTTGGAGATATTCAGCCCAAAAGTTGGTCCCCGGTTTTGATTAACTCAGGCGAGGGCTTCTAGCCCTTGATCAGATGTCCCGGTTGCTACATTGTCTTCTATTGAGTTCTTCTGTTGGTTGATCTGCAGTTTCCTTAGGTGCTAATTGTTGCCTGCTATCGTGTTACACATTCAATCACTGATTCACTCGCTCTTTCAGGGGCCAGCCTGATATAGGGAAGGGCAGTTTGATTCCTGCCCTTGTTAACATTGTTACAATGTATAACTTACTTATGAAACTAAACACATTTAGTTGAAAGTTGAAAGGTGAGGAGTATAAAATATAAGCTACAAAAGTAATGCCATGGCACACAAATAGATAAAAATACCAAAATACAAGGGGAGATACAAAATGCGCACACACAAATTTCAAAACACAATTCCTTATCTTAAAGTGAAAGAAAGAGGAAGGAAGAAAAGGTAGAAGAGGAAAAACATATTCAAGGAGGGGAGAGCAAATGCAGACAAGAGGAAAAGGGGCTTTCTGCTACACAAGGACTATAAATGGTATACACAATGTCCAAGTAACTAGCAAAGTCAAGATGTGAATCCTCTTACCTGGTATGGTGACATGGACTTCAGCATCACTGGCTTCTTCTGGAATTTCATCTTCAATATAAGATGAATACATAATTTCTCTTTCCATAGCTCCATTTAAAGAACTCTGATTAACAGACCCTCTTCCATCACTTCCAAGGCAATTTGCACCTAACATCCGAGTGTTCTGAAGATTATCAGATGTACTTTCATCTTCCTGGGTTATTCTGGGTTTTAGTACTTTTTTCTTCAGAGTCTCTTCCTCAAACTCTTTAATGTTTTTATCAGATGAATAAATAACCCTAAAAGATTACACTAAATTTTACTCATATCATTTAAAACTTTTTCTAAAAATAGCTTTAAAAAAAAAAAAAATCACAGTTTATACAATACATAGATAATATAAGGCTTATCCAGAGAAAAATGAACGATTTTGTAACTTGAATACAAGCATTTAAATTAAGCCTTGAAAAATTAGTGTCGTTTCTACATTGTTTTAAAAGATGGTAAACTATACTTTAAAATGTGCTGATGTTCTCAAGATACAGGCTGGAGAAGGTAGCTTCTATCTTCCCTATCACCTACTGGTAATAACCATCTCAAACTGACAACATTTAACAGCCAATATTAAGGACAGCTGACTTGTTTCTACATACAAGTTAGACCAAAAACAAAATACACTTGATCATCCATTAATTTTATCATTATATTTATAAAACTAAGTTCTAAAGAACTAGCTTAGTCACTAGCAGCAAAGAAAACCAAATATTTGAAAGTAGGACCCCCGCCACCCACCAGATTGCTTTCAGCCAAAAGATATGCTCTCTCCATCTAGAAATATCAGTCTTCCTTTTCTTTCCTACCTACTTTGTAAAATACATTAGTTTTGGATACAAGGCTTTAAGAGTTTACAAAGTCTATAGTGTATGTTTGATGATCTTTTATATTTGGAAAAGCTACTCCACTTGTACAGTTGGAATGGAGTATAAAAGGATGATCCACAGAGCACAGATTTTATCAGTAGTTTTATGCATATACTAATTCAGATAAAAGAACTAGCAAAGCATAGCTTAAGGCTTATAGTTACTTATCTAAGTTAAGCAAAGTTGTGCTTATACATATGCCTGATTTGTGTTCAAATGCCACTCAGTTACAAATTGGATTTTTGCTAATATTGGGGAAATGGTCCTTTGAATATGCTATCCTTCTCATCATGAATTGATTAAATTATTTCTTCTGAAGTGTGTACAAACTTGCCTTTAAGAGCAAGGAAAGTGCAAAAATAAATGATATTTCCTCTAATGGGTCCTAAGTTTAAAGCAGGGCTATCCAATTAGCAGGCTGCATTCTGTCCCTGAAGGATTAAATTGCAACCTCTGGGCTCCTGGTGTGGGTGCTGCCTCATTGCTCTCCTCTTCCTGCTGTTGGGAGTCTCTGGGTTCCTCCTTCCTTCTTTAGTTTCCACTCTCTATCCCCACCCCTGGGGGTGCTGTGCCACAGCCAGGGGGCTGCAGCTGGGGATACCTGGGGTGCCAATGCAGCTGGGAGTATCTGTTGTGTGGTGGAGGGGTATCAGCATGGAATAGCAGCTGGGGGGAGGAGGGAGGGTGGGATAGACATCAGACAGTTCCTGATGCCTTACCCAGATTGGTCTCTAGGATGCCACACCACCTGGGTGCTCTGCATTTCCAGGAAGATTTACTCTATGGCTGCATTTAGAGGTGCACTTTACTGCAGAGTTGACCAATTAGCACCGCAGTAAAGTGTCACAGTCCACACATGCACTGGTATTAGAGTGCAGTAAATTAACTCCACTGGAGGATAGTAATTTACTCTGCTGAAATGCATGTGTAGACCAAGACAGGGGCTGGCTGGGGCATGAGGGTGCTAAAGTGCAAGGGGGCTGCCTGCAGCCTAGCTCTGCACTTTAGTACTCCTGTGTCCTAGCCAGCCCCTCTGCTGTCTGACGCCACCACCTGGAGCCCAGGGCTTCTCCAACCCAGCTCAAAGTGCTGCTGTCCTGGATGCATGCATAAACACTGTGTCTAGGAGCAGTTTTCTTCAGTGTGAACTGTGCTGGAGTTTATCACGTGACCTTAATGGCATGTGTAGATGTACCCTATGCCATACAGCTGGCCATGACCCTGGAAAAAACTTTCTTTATATTTTGTCATCCAACAAAAAGATGTGTTTTATTTGGGGTGCGTTGTATGCAAGAAAATATGGTAATTTCCCTAGATTCACAATAAAACTTTATTAATTTACCTACCAAAGACATAAGAGCAATGCAGATACAACACCAGAAAAAGGAAGAATGAAATGAAATAGAGGTACTGCTATATGTATCTCTTTTTTTAGACTTTGAAGTTACCCTCCTTCAGTTTCATGGAAGATCCCCTTGTTTTCATGTTACTTGGAGAGATTAAACAGTTTTCATTATGGCCTTCATAAATTTTGTTTACTTCATTCATATCCTTTTAGCTATTCTTTTCCAGAAGGAAAATCTTACTATTTGCAGTCTCTTGTCATGTATAAAATGACACTATGGGACCTTTCTTAGCCCCACTATAGCAAAGCACAACTCTGCAGCAACTTTCATTTAAAGGATACAACTGAGAAGAAACAACAAGCAGCAGTTTACCTAAACTGCTTTGTACTAAGTGTCAAATTAACCCAAACCTTTTCTATTCTAGTGAGAACTTCTTTAGTCTAGTCTGTAAGAAAATGGGTAATATAGGCCCTCAAGCTCTATATTTCTCAATGACATTGTTAGAACTCTTTTAAAACTGTTAAAAAGATTAATCAACAACTGTGTGCTACGTTTGAGAGCGAATTTCCATGCTCTGCATGGGCAGACAGGGATCTTTGGGTGAATCTGATATCTTTTATTAGACCAACTTAAATAGTTGGAGAACAATTTTTAAGCAAGCTTTCAGGTTCAAAAACCCTTTCTTTTGTCCTAACCCAGTCACACAGATCAGCCCTGTTTCTTTGTAATACCTTATTTTGAAACACTATAGTAGGTTGGTTTTTGTTGATTTCATAGACATCAGGGCTGGAAGGGACCTCGGAAGATCATCGAGTCCAGCCCCCCGCCCAAAGGGCAGGAAGTCAGCTGGGGTCATAGGATCCCAGCAAGATAAGCATCCAGTTTCATCTTGAAGGTGTTCAATGAAGGCGCTTGAACCACCTCCGGTGGCAGGCTGTTCCAGACCTTGGGGGCTTGGACAGTAAAGAAGTTCTTCCTTATGTCCAGCCTGAAACGATCTTGAAGTAGTTTGTGACCATTCGACCTCGTCATCCCTTGGGGCGCTCTGGTGAACAAACGTTCCCCCAGATGCTGGTGGTCACCCCTGATAAACTTGTAGGTGGCCATCAGATCACCCCTGAGCCTGCGCTTTTTCAGGCTAGAGCCCCAGGGCTCTCAGCCTGTCATCGTAGGGTCTGCTTCCCTGACCTCTGATCATGCGCGTGGCTCTTCTCTGGACTCTCTCAAGCTTCTCCACATCCTTTTTGAATTGTGGAGCCCAAAACTGGACACAGTACTCCAGCTGCGGCCTCACTAAGGCCGAGTACAGGGGGAGAATGACGTCCCGGGATTTGCTTGAGAGCAAAAATAAAAATGTTTGTGCACTCCCTGCTCCTCCATTGCAGAAATCTATTTTAATCCGTTTTTAAAAACACACTTATTCTCTAAAGCAATTGGCTCCAAAATGTGGTACCTCTACTTTTGCTATTTACACACTCTCCTTTTTCATCCCTAAAGCTATTTCTTTCGGATTTGGGGGTTCCCAGTTCCTGTCATCTTGCTTTAGTTCAATCTATTCTAGATGGAGCTTTACCTGACGATTGCCTAAAAACGAGGCGCTGAACGCCGCTGCTTAGCGGCGTTCCTGTCAGAGAGTGCATTTTGCACGGGTTCTGTGATTTGGATTGACATACCACTTGTTTCTGTATAAATATGAACTCGCCATTTTCTCAACCTCCTGAAACCCTCAATATTTTGGATCTTGGAAATGGCCCGTCTCCTTATATGGTACTGGAGCAGCCGCTAAAGTTAGAGAGAGAGTTTTGCTAAAAGCTCTTTCCATTCTGGTGTTAGAAAGGAAAAAGGAGAATTGGCAATTGGGAAATTCAAGTGCAACTGCTTTCTCCGCTTGGTTCAGTAGAGGCAGAGTTGCTTGCTGGCATTCAGAACTCACTCTCTATTCTCCAAATAGTTTTGAAAAATAACAGGGTTCAGAAGGATGCCAAGGTGGGCTAAGTGGAGAAACGTGAATGTAGTGGGTAGGGTGCGTGAGAAAGTCTGTTACTAGAAATGGATTTACCCTGATCTTGCAAGCTGCTCTGCAAGGGGGGATTCCTGCCCTGCAGGAAATCAATGGGGTCTGTGGGATGGAAGGGACAACCCAGCTTTTGGCATATTTTCCATACTCTATGGACCCCTGGATTTGCAGTTTAGTACATCTACACAAACAGCCATCTATCTTATTCTCATCCTTCTAGAACCACATGAAGGCTGTCACTCCAGCTCATATGTTATTCAGAGTTAATTCAGTGTCTGCAATTTTAGTCACTATATATGGATAACTATAGGAAGCTGAGTGGGGCTCACTCCGCTACATACTGTACAAATGTTGTCAGACACAGTCTATTATGTCCAAGTATTGTGTCCACATTTTGCAATAGTTTTAAAAAAAGCAGGCAGTAGTTTCCTATTCTTTTGGGCTCACAGCATGTTGTCTGCTGCAAATCTCTATTCACGTTCTTACAGGATAACACAGTGGTGTCACATTCATCATTAAATGAATTAACCGTTAACCCTATATTTACACTCCTGCTATAAACAGAAGCTTAATTTGCTGCACTGACAGTCGGTTGCGTGCCATTTGTATCTTTTCTGTGCTATTTGGTATTTATATAGCACTCAAAAGTCACTAAATGCTTTACATATTAAAAAATACAAGTCCCCATCTGGAAGGGTTTTCCACCTTATAGCTCAATTCTGTATATTCGTGTACTTCTCATAGGCGTTCTGGAAACAGAGGTCTTGCTGAATTAGTTCTTAGGCAGCATTACATATATAGATAATTCCTAATTATGCTATATAACACCAACACCAAGCCCCTCTTTTCAACCATCACAGAATGAAAAGGAGCATTCCTACTTCGGCAGATGACAAAACAAAGCAGAGCAAAACAAATACACATTTTCCAGGGCAGATTTCACAATTGCAGTATTCCAGCTGAGCAACAGCTGGTTGGAAGAACAAAGCTGAATTCTTTTAGGGTATTCAT